TTTCTTTGCCAGATACTGGAAGTGATACCTAGAATCTGAACGTGTTAGCATGGGGCTTCTTGGGATCTGGGAACTTCTGGCAACAGGATTGAGCCAGGCTCAGGACTGCTGAGTTAGTGGGTGAGCCATGTCTTCTTCATCCTCCCTGCCTTGGCTTTACCATCTATCCTACCTAACACAGCAGTGCAGGCTCTGAGGGTGTGCAGTTCAGTGGGAGGGTGGTGACCTGGAGGGAAGTACATGCCCCACCTCAGGTCTCCTTCTCAGGGCAGCTGAGTCTATGTGGGGAAAGCAGTGGGGTCTGTTCAAACTCTGAATTTGGCTACAGCTCCCTACCCTGTCCTTATCTTCCGTTGCCCAGAAATAAGGCCCGGAAGACATGGGCACTGAAGGCTGTTCAGCAGGACTGGTGATCTCAGCGATCCTCTTACCAGATTCTATCTGTGCTGACTCAACTTTGAATGTCACACAGAAAGGCTGGAGTTCCGATTTCCATTGTACAGACTAGGAATCAGGCAGAGAGAAGTTGAGAATCTTGCCTTAGATCACACAGCTGGAGAAGACCGAGTTCAGACTCACACCCACTATGGACAGACATGGAATCTGTGTGCTGTGCACCAGGAAATGCTGATCCTGAAGGGGCAGCAAGGAATGAGGAAGACCAGGTGCCCAGACTGAGCCAGGCTCACATCTGTGCTCAAGCATACACTGCTTCCTGCTGTTCACCTCTGAGGCTCCAGAGGTTGTAGGAAACTAGAAGAGCCAAGAGAAGCCAAGGGAGGAGGATAGGGAGCTGATTAGGAGAAAAAGGACCCACTTCCCAGGAGTCTGGGGAATTCCCTTCTCTGGTGAGTCTGTCTCAAATCCCTCTCTCTGGGCACTAAACAAAGCAGACTGACTCCAGATTTACATTTGCAGGAGTTCAATTCCTGTGGCTGAGAGTATGAGTTTTTGTGGCTCTTCAGGAAACCTCTGGGTTCAGTGATGGGGAGAATGAGATTGGTGCTCACATTCCCATATCACTGTTGTCCATCTCATCTCTTGTCATGAAACTGGAGGGTTTGTTTAACCAGTTATTTCTGTACTAATTATACTCTTGGGGAGTGTAAGCCCCGGTAGACTTCCTATGGCTGTTGATATGCAACTTAATGCTAATGACTCACTACTCTACCTGCAAACATAGGGCTTCTCCCCAGAGTGTATCCTCTCGTGTATGATGAGACTTGACTTGTCTGTAAAGCCTCGCCCACACTCCCTGCAAACATAGGGCTTCTCCCCAGAGTGTGTCCTCTGGTGTCTGAGAAGATTTGACTTCCATGTAAAGCCTCGCCCACACTCCCTGCAAACATAGGGCTTCTCTCCTGAGTGTGTCCTCTGGTGTGTGCTGAGAGTTGACTTGTCTGTAAAGCCTCGCCCACACTCCCTGCAAACATAGGGTTTCTCCCCTGAGTGTGTTCTCTGGTGTGTGATGAGATGTGACTTCCGTGTAAAGCCTCGCCCACATTCCCTGCAAACGTAGGGCTTCTCTCCCGAGTGTGTGCTCTGGTGTATGATGAGATATGACTTCTGTGTAAAGCCTCGCCTGCACTCACTGCAAACATAGGGCTTCTCTCCAGAGTGTGTCCTCTGGTGTCTGAGGAGACTTGACTTCCGTGTAAAGCCTCGCCCACACTCCCTGCAAACATAGGGCTTCTCTCCCGAGTGTGTCCTCTCGTGTGTGATGAGACTTGACTTGTCTGTAAAGCCTCGCCCGCACTCCCTGCAAATATAGGGCTTCTCCCCCGAGTGTATCCTCTCGTGTGTGATGAGACTTGACTTGTCTGTAAAGCCTCGCCCACACTCCCTGCAAACATAGGGCTTCTCCCCAGAGTGTGTCCTCTGGTGTCTGATGAAATGTGACTTGCGTATAAAGCCTTGCCCACACTTCCTGCAAATATAGGGCTTCTCCCCAGAGTGTGTCTTTTTGTGTCTGAGGAGATTCGATTTCTCTGTAAAGCCTCGCCCACACTCCCTGCAAACACAAGGCTTCTCCCCTGAGTGTGTCCTCTGGTGTGTGATGAGACCTGACTTCCGGGTAAAGCCTCGCCCACACTCCCTGCAAACATAGGGCTTCTCCCCAGAGTGTATCCTCTCGTGTGTGATGAGACTTGACTTGTCTGTAAAGCCTCGCCCACATTCCTTGCAAACATAGGGCTTCTCCCCTGAGTGTTTCCTCTGGTGTGTGATGAGACCTGACTTGCCTGTAAAGCCTCGCCCGCACTCCCTGCAAATGTAGGGCTTCTCCCCTGAGTGTGTCCTCTGGTGTGTGATGAGATTTGACTTCCATGTAAAGCCTCGCCCACACTCCCTGCAAACATACGGCCACTCTCCCGAGTGTGTCCTCTTGTGTGTTATGAGAACTGACTTGTCTGTAAAGCCTCGCCCACACTCCCTGCAAACATAGGGCTTCTCCCCAGAGTGTGTCCTCTGGTGTGTGATGAAATGTGACTTGTCTATAAAGCCTCGCCCACACTCCCTGCAAACAAAGGGCTTCTCCCCAGAGTGTGTCCTCTGGTGTCTGAGGAGAAGTGACTTCCAGATAAAGCCTCGCCCACACTCCCTGCAAACATGGGGCTTCTCCCCAGAGTGTTTCCGCTGGTGTTTGATGAGACCTGACTTGCCTGTAAAGCTTCGCCCGCACTCCCTGCAAACATAGGGCTTCTCCCCAGAGTGTGTCCTCTGGTGTGTGATGAGATTTGACTTCCATGTAAAGCCTCGCCCACACTCCCTACAAACATAGGTCTTCTCCCCTGAGTGTGTCTGGTGTCTGAAGAGATGTGACCCATCATTGAAGCCTTGCCAACACCCTCCGTGCTCTATTGTTACAATTTTTGACATTCTTGCTTTCACAAATAACTTGCCTGTGTCCTCTGGACTCTCTTTCTGGCCTCTGCGAGGTTCTTCCTCCATCATCCTCTCATGCTCACTAGAACTTGTCATTTGTTCTTTGGAAGGTTGGAAAAAGGGTCTTGAGATTCTCCTCTGATTGATCCTTTTAAGCAAAAGTTTGGACCTTTCTTTGACATCTTGACCTTCAGCTTTATCATTCCAGCTGTGTGTACTACTATGTTGCTGCTGCTGATTCTGATCCTCTGGACAGGGTTCCTCTGCTTGGAGGTGTTTTCTTGCAGATGTTCCCGGGAGGATCTGAGAGGGATGACTGACTTTCAAGTGTTGGCTGAGGAATTTCTGACTGGAGAAGGCCAGAGAGCAGGAGGGACATGGGTGGATCTCTGGCTTTGGTTCTGCTGAAAGAGAAAGGTTTGGTCAGGGCAGATGTTGATGAGAATGCCTGGGCCGCACAACTTGTTTCCTGGTAGAGACATGCCCCATGAATCCTTATTGTGGTGACAACACAAGTTCTGTCTCCCACAAAGTGTCCACTCGAAGTCTATTTTCCTTTTCATTTTTATGCAGTGCATTTTCTTCGTAACTCCAGAAACCCCACATCAAGAGTCTTTGCTAACATTGCTCAGACTAAGGACTTTCGAGTAGCAGGAGAGGCAATTTCACTCCCTGAACTGCAGTGACCTTCCCAATTACAGGTATCCTCTACGTCATGTTAAAGAAGAAAACTAGGAATTGCTTCTCTTTGTTTTTCAAAACTATAAAATGTCTTTCCCACCCTTGCTTGTGTGGCTCAGTGGACTGAGTGCCTGCCTGCAAAGCAAGGACTCACAGGTTCGATTCCCAGTCAGGGAACCTGCCTGGGTTGTGGGTCAGGTCCCCAGTAGGGGGCGTGTGAGAGGCAACCATGCATTGATGTTTCCCTGTGTTTCTTCCTCTTCCTCTCTAAAAATAAATAAAATCTTTAAAAAAGTCATTCCTCAAACCTCACACCAAATATTTATGCTTCATTTCATTCAGTGTTAGTCCATTTCAAATGTCCTAAGAAGTCCTGTTTCAAAATATTTCTCCAACCACATGTCTTACACGCCTGACTCCTGCTCCTCTCTGGCCAATCCACCATGTGCTCTCACTTGGAGATGAAGTAATGTCTGAGGGGAGTCCCCACTGGAGTTTATTTTCTAAAAACTAACAAAGCATGATCAGAACAGAGACACACCACTCTACGCTGAGGACTGCACACTTTCACTCAGGAAAGTCCTCAGGGTCTCAACTCGGGTCATCAGCACTGCATTTCCAGGCTGCTGAGCATCTATCTGATCTCCGTTCTTACCCTCTATGCTGAGACGAGACCTGAGTGACCCTCAGCCAATTCAACGCCCCACCTCTTTTCTTCCCTGCACTAGCTGCTCCCTCTGCCTGGGATCCTCTGCCTGCAGGTATTTTTGTAAATGTTATCTCCTGAGGGAGCCCTTTCTGGACCACATGCCGCACCACACGTCCCCTCACACTGATCCCTAGACACTTGCCTGGATTAGTTTTCTCCAAAGCACTAACCACTGTGTGGTGTTAACGCACATGCAAGCACGTGTGCCTGGGTTTCCCTGCCTTATTGGTCAGCTCCTCAAGAGCAGTGATTCTCTCCTTATGTTTATCTGTATTTCCAGGTCCCAGGATGCTGTGCCACAGAGTAGGATCTCACCTGACAATTCACTGAAATGGTGAAGGAACATGTCCTGCCTGAATGGTGTGGCTTGGTGGGTTGTGTGTTGTCCAAAAACTGAAAGGTTACAAGTTCGAGTCCCAGTCAGGAAACACTCCAGCGCTGTGGGCCAGTTGGGGGTGTGCCAGAGATAACCGATTAATGTTTCTCTTGCACATTGATTTTTTATTCTACATCCTTTCCACTCTCAGTAAAAATAAATAAAATCTTGTTTAAAATATTTGATTTATGTATTTATTTTCAGAAAAGGGGGAAGGGAGGGAGGGAGAGGGAGAGAAACATCACTCTGTGGTTGCCTCTCACATGCCCCCTACTGGGGACCTGGTCCAAAACCCAGGCATGTGCCCAGACTGGGAATCAAACTGGCAGCACTTTGGTTCACAGGCTGGCGATCAGTCCTCTGAGCCACACCAGCCAGGGCAAAATCTTTAAAAAATAATGAATGCCTATAAAGAAAAAACATTTTATTTAGAAGTATGGAGGAAAATTAAGAAGAAACAGCTATAAAAGTGTCAGAAAAACTGCCTTTTTTTGAGAGAACTGGTTAGTGCTTGAAATTTTTTTCCCTCTCTGTCTTTCAGTACTATATGCAGTTTTGTATTTTGTTCATGAAATACTTTAAAGATAAAAAATATAAAAATTTTGCCTAAGAGTCAAAGGCATATGAATGAATTGTGAATTTCTGAAGCATCTGAGTTGAAACTTTACTGACTTTAGAGTGGATTTTACTCTACTTGGGAGTTGGATCATGAATATTTCTATGGAGATTTCTCTTTTCTTTCTGTTTTGAAGAACAGTGGTGCCCACCTGTCCTGGCTGCGAGCTCTCTCTTCCACTTGCTGCCCCACTTGCTGCCCAGCTCCTGGCCATACTCGTCCCCAAACCACACCAGCAGCTCACAGCCCGGCCTGATGACCCGGCAGGTTCGGTAGAAAATCTGCCTTTGGTATTGAAAGGCCACCAGGTTCTGCTCTTCATCTTCCCGGGCACAGTTCACATACCTGGGATTGAGGCAGAGGAAGGGAAAGAAAACCACAGTGATGAGTTCCCAGTACCTGTGACATCCATGTCCAGCTTCTTAAGGCCCTCAGGCTCTGATGTTGGCCACTGCCCCTGATGCTCCCAGGGAACCTTCTGTTCAGTGTCTGAGTGTCCGTCACCATGTCATGTGAATTCCTACCTCCAAGACCTGCTTGCAGTGCTAATCCTGCCTAACACCGTTTTCTAAAACCCAATTCTAGAGTTAACCTCCACCCATCATATCCAGCGATCTCTGGCTTCTCCAAGCTCTACATCAAGTTGTTTCACACCACAGAACCTGGTGCTTGATCTAGGGCTCTGCTTCTAAATCAGCTCACTAATTTTCCGGTACTCAGCCCACATGTTTTTCTCTTGAGAAGCCTTTCTCCAACCCCCTTACACCTTATTTTGGGTACCATTTACTTGCCTGCCCAAGGTTACCATAGAAAAGTGGAGGTCTTTTTGTCTTGGTAAAATAAAACAGAACAATAGTAATTGATTCACATTCAGGAAACCCTGATAAAAGAGAGCTCTTCAGGAAAAAGGCCCATGACCATTCCCCTGCAGGCCTCAGAGCTCAGCTCTAGTTAGAAGTGAGGCTGGGATGGTTTGCTGCCTTCACAGGTTCAGGCCACCCTTGGTTAGTGGTTCTTGACACTGAGCATTTCTTGGTAATTATAGTTAAATGTTTCTAAAAGCAATTGTTTTATGTCTGTCTGTGAGAAGTCCTTCATAAGGACATGGGTTGTGTGATCTGTGTAAGTAATGTATTCCTTCACCTAAAGTGGAATATAGTAAGTGCTTAATGTTCATTTGATAAATTAAAGTGTAAAGTGTAATCCAGTGTCCCTGGTGAATCTAGGCTCTTCAAGGTCCTTTCCAGTGCCCACATTGTATCTAGCAATGAGCTTTATATTTTGAGGACACATGCTATACTTTTTTCCTAAGTGTCCTCTGAAATGAAAGAACACTGCATGGAGAAAAAGAGGAAAAAAGGATGAAGGGAGACCACTGAGGGAGGCATGATGAGAGGGAAAGATATATGGGCTTGTGGGGGATGAGAGTCCCCTCTGACACCCAGAGACCTGTTGACCTCACCTCATCCAGTTGGCCCAGGATCTGTCCTTTCCATCCACATACTCATAGCAGTTTCTCCCTTTGGTGATCTGTGTTTCAGAAAAGAAGTTAAAGACCTTTTATTTTTTTGGTGGGGAGGTAATAGTCAAAAGAATTATTTTACTCTACTGTCATCAAAGCTCTTTCTGCCTGCATGGGGATTCAACTGCCAGTTGTGACCATATGATAATTTTCTTAGTCACCATCTACACATCTGAGTCTACCTGTTGAATCAGAGCGGGAGCCCCACAAGGGAGGAGCCTCTCTTTTGTGTCTGCACCACTTTGCTCCCACTTACCTTCTGATCCTTAAACAGGAGCTCTGTGTTCATGTAAAGTCCAGTCAGTACACAGAGCTAACCATATTATCCCCTCCATGTCTAGAATATAGGTGAGGTGAGGTCCCTCCAAGCCTCAGAAGGAATGTGGGAAGCCAGAGGGCAGTGGAAGAGGTAAAGAGTTCTCACCAGCCAGGAGTATCTGCTCTTGGCTGCCTCTCCATCTTCTGTGATGTGTCCTTCATAAGGGCCAAAGTGCAGACCCACTGGCAAGTCAGCTGCCTCATTCCACACTCCAAGCCCAGCCTCAGGGATGCCCGATGGCCCGATTCTCAACCCAGGGGGCAGGGTGAGGGCTGAGCGGTGGGGATGCCCCTTGTCCACTGCACTGTCCTTTACAAATGTAGGGGGCCCATGCACAGCACAGCTGTCGATGAAGAAGTTCTGACACTTCTCACAATCTGGAGGCGAGAGTAACACGGGTTAGGGAAGGTACAGCACATGTTCCTGGACACAAACAGCTTCAGAGGGAGTCCAGCACTGACATCATTGAGACTTAATCTTGTACTCCAGGTCACTAGAGGAAGGGAATGATTTGGGGACCAAAGGACTAGATGAAATTATTGTATCATAACATGCTTCTCAGTGAGGGTCACTTACAAAGGTAGTCATCGTCCTGGGGATCGTTGACCTCTTGGTACACATGGCCCTTTCTTTCTTGTAGGCTGTACAACTTCATGTCCATCTCCTTTCTCCTGAGTTCTGAGTTGGAGAAGGACAGGCGAGCGAGGTTGGTGGGGTCTGGAGTGTTAGTTCCCATTTTGTCAGATAACACAATCTCCTCCCATCAAATTATCACCTGTCTCCTTTTGCATACTGTGGTATTTTACTGTCAACTATTGGTTCAGAAGATGAAGACTCCACACTAACTACAGATGACTGATTCGATTTTAGTTTCTAAATCTTCCCATTACCAGGTTTAACTTGCCAATCTTCAATCATTAATAAAATATTTATGGATGCACATTATGTGTTAGGCATTGAGTAAAGGCCCAGGCACACAACACCAATAAATGTGGTTGCTGTTATCACAGATGGGTTTATTGGACAACTTGCATGTGTTACTTGTTTTAAATTTAATTTAATATTTTCAAACAATATATGAGCGATGTTTCTTTATCTTCTCTTTATTTATTAGCATTTAGGAACTCAGAGAATTTATAGGATTTGCCCAATGCTCCAGTGCTAACTTCAGTCTCAGGTTAGCCCAAGTTAAATCCAGGCCCATCCAAATTCGGCCCCACATACCTAGGTCATACTTATCAGCCCTTTCATAGGACTTAGAGGAACTAAAGTTTCCAAATTACTTTCTCTTACCCGATTTTTGTCTAGGGTAAAAATGGGCTTTCCAAAGGCACATGCTTCTCCAGGAGGGGACACTGGTTTCTGGGTATTCTCTGAGTCACTTGCAGTCATCAAATTTGCTGTTCCTGACAATTCCTTCTAATGATATTCATTGCCTAATGGCACCCTGGATGTTGCCTTCAATGTAAGAGTCACATATTAAAAGATAACATATAAGCCCTGGCTGGCGTAGCTCAGTGGACTGAGCATGGGCTGTGAACCCAAGTGTCGCAGGTTCAATTCCCAGTCAGGGCACATGCCTGGGTTGCAGGCCACGGCCCCCAACAACCACACATTAATGTTTCTCTTTCTCTTCCTCCCTCCCTTCTCTCTCTAAAAATAAATAAATAAAATCTTAAAAAAAAATAAAAAATAATTTTATTTTTTAAGGCTTATGATACATTTTACATGCATGTCTTTAAAATTTCAACCCTTGAAAATACCTAGGGAGTATGAATATTAGAGGGGATAGGGCCAATGTGGGTAATGAATTCAAGATTAGAACTCATGCCTTATGACTCTTTTCTTTCAACTGTCTGTATAATATTGAGAGTGAAGGATATTGGGAAGAGAATAAAGAAATAGTTGGCAGAAACATATCTACACAATAAATAAGATGGTGATAAAATCTGCAATATCTTGGAAAGAATTTTGTACTTAGATTAGCTGGTTCCCACCAACTTACCCTGTTTGAATAAGGCTGTATCAGTAGCTAGTTGTCTTCAGTTTCATGATCTATAACATGCTAATTTTCAATGTTACAGTAAATGTGCAATTAAATAATGCTCACCTAAGTGTTCTGTGAATTGTGTAATACAGTGTGAAGTGCGATTACAGTCCTGTTCTCAATTTACCCCTCGGCTCTCTCCATATTTCAGATCTCACAGAAATCACCTGCAGCATTCATCAATCATCTTCTAGTTTAATTTGTAACTGTAAAATCATTCATTCAGCAAATATTCAGGGGCCCTCAGGGGCCCTGATCTGGGGCTGTGACCTCAGAAGACTCAGGTGTGGACCAGCCTCTCAAAGAGCTCTCAATGCAGAGGTAGTCAGGCTGAACAAATGATTCTAAACAGGATTAGAGCAGCCTCCTTGGAGCTCAGAGAGAGAAGCTGTTACTTCACCTTACAAGAAACGGCATTTGAAATCAGTTCCAGACAGATGAGTTTCTGTGGAAGAGTGTGAAACTTATACCAAATCCTTAAGTCTTTTTATTGTTTGTTGTTTCTCAATCATCAAACCTGAAGCTACTCAGGGGTGGGAGATGCTCTTTGATTAGAGTGGGAGGCTGTGATCCTGGACATTTTACATTTTTCTTCACCTGGGACCATTCACTGTACAAACTGACTACACAATGTACGCTTTCCTTAGTCGGCGGGCCTTAGTGCATCTCTCACTTCAGCATAGCAGAGAAGAAATTTGGTTGAAACCGTCAGTCAGATGAATGATGTAATAACACATGGATAAGACAATGTAAACTTTAGAAAACTATGAAAGTTTATTTTTCTAATTTTTAAAAAGGATTGTTAATTTTCTTGAGAGAGAGGAAGGGAGGAAGAGAGGGAGAGAAACATTGGTTACTTGCCTCTTGCAAATGCCCCAATCAGGAACCTGGCCCACACCCCAGGCATGCGCCCTGATCAGGGATCAAACTGGCAATCTTTCCCCGCGCAGGATGACACCCAACTGAGTCACAGTGGCCAGGGTAAAACTATAAAAGTTTTAATGAGTTTGTAAGTGGTTTAGAGAAGCAACTATGGGTTGGATTGCAGTACCACTGATACTGAGATCTTAGACATATACTCAAACATTTCTATATCTCTGAAAGCTCACTTCCCTCATCATAAATGGTGATAGTATGTACCTCATAGGGTTGTTGTAATGTTTGAGTTAATTCACATAGAATTCTTAAAGTCTGAAACATTGTGAGAATGAAACAAATGGTAGTTACTATTATTGCTGTAATGATGAGCCCTGGCTGGTGTGGCTCAGTGGATTGAGCACTGGCCTGCAGACTGAAAGGTCACCAGTTCCATTCCTGGTCAGGGCACATGCCTGGGTTGTGGACCAGGTCCCCACTTGGTGGCATGTGAGAGGCAGCATAGGCAGCATAAGCGTGTCTCGCACATGTTTCTCTCCCTCACTTTCTCCCTCCATTCCCCTCACTCTAAAAAATTGACAAAATCTTAAAAAAATTATGATAATGTCGGACAGTGTGTTGAAGAGACCAGGAAAGGAAGGCATCAGTCCCTAGGATACTTTCTGCAGTTTCCTACATTTACCTGCATTTTTATCTATGAGGAAAATTTTGTTGTCAACAGGATTTGGGAAATACTCACCTTCTGGTGTTTACTGTGTTCCCTTCTGAAGGCCACCCAAGGTTTCACTGAAAGATGATGAGAAATCAGTGTTTTGGTGGGTAAATGTTTCCAAAATCTGGCGATTCTTCGTAGGGACAAAGAATTCTGAATGACAGTAGTCCAAGAACAATCCCAGGATGATTGGAAAATGTTTTCTGAGGTATCATTAAGGCCTAGGCTTCTATTTGGGGCCATCCACTAATTTCATTGGAATGATAAAAAACATACAGAAAGTGTCATCTACGCTTCATCCTATGTTCATAAAGCATCTATTACATTTATTAAAAAATAAATTGGCCTCTCCTGACAAAAATGTAATAAAAGTAACTGCACAGAAACTCCATGTCTTCAACATAACCCTTTCTCCGTCCTGTTTTCTTCATTCAAACTGGCCTTGTCCCGGCTGAGGGCACCTCGACCACCCGGCCTCCTTTCTCTGGTATCCTCCCCGCGGGGCACATACTGGCCACCCACGCCCTTCCTTAGTCATTAGACTCTGGTCAGCACCCACAGTCTGTCGACCCCAGAAACAGAATTCCAGTGAAGTTGAAGATCACATCTTGTCTTCAGCTGTGTGTCAACCCCAGACCCATGAAAGTGGACCGACCCCACCCTCCGAACACTCACGATACTGGACGGAACATGGGGGCCGACATCAGGAAACCACACGGAGGTCAACCCCTCCCGACCCTGGCCCTCCCCCACTCCCGTCATCACCAGGGTGAACACTGTCCCCGCCCGTCCCGTCTCCATGCGGGCCACCGCGCGGCCAGGTGTGGGGCCCTCCTCACCGGCCAGACCCTGCCTCCCTCTCTTGCGATGACGACTCTTCTGAATTAGTTACTTCTCGCTCACTTTATGTTCTTACACATTCACTGCTTACTAATGCATCTATAAGTACATATGATTACGTTGCCCACGTGAAAGTTGACGGGAACAGCCCCTCACTGTGCGACACACTGTTGTGCCTCTTGCTCGTTCGCTGCACCAGCAAACCTGCTCCCTGGTGACGTCCTGAGATGCCGCCCGACCCACACCAGGTCCGAGCCGGGAGGGCAGCGCTGGCTCCTCCCGCCGCTCACCGTGCTGCCTCGGGGCCCGTTCTTCATCGGAGTCCTCAGGGTCGTCCTCCTCCTGGAGCTCGGTGGGCCGCCTGCCTGCGGCGGTGACACAGGAAAGCCGGTCGCGGGGCCCTGAGACCTGGGAAGAGACAAAACCTCTGTCCTGAAGCAGAGAGCGTGGGGGAGGGACAAGCCCAGGAAGCCCGATGGGACGGGAGAGTCCACAGTTGCTCACAGCAACAGCGAGTTGCCGTGAGCGCTGCTCGGTCGGCGCCGGCCCCGCTCTGACTGAAGGAGCAAACTCCCCGCGACCCGGTGTCCCTGCGGGAGGGAGCTGCAGGCGCACGGAGCCGCCTGAGCCGGGGCCAGCCCAGCGCCTGCCGGGTCTCCAGGGCCCCGGGGCCCAGCGCCTGCGCACGCGCTACCTGGGCTGGTGAGCGCGACCGAGTTCCTCTTCACGTCCCGGTACCGGCCTCTCTCCCCGAGGGCAGGGCGCCCGGAGAGGGGGACAGCGGGGCTGGATGGGCCGAGCTGCCCGCAGACCCGCCTGCGGGGGCGCCCGCAGGGACCCCCCCACTTGTTCCCGCCCTTCCCTCCGCGCGCCGCCTCAGGGCGGGCTCCGGAGGCCGCAGCCCGGGCGTCTGAGGGGCCCGTCGGCCGGGCGGGCCTGTGGCGGCGCAGGAACCGCGCTTCTCCCGGGGAAGGGCCGGGAGGCGCCCCCGGGGGTCCGGAGAAGCCCGCGCGAGGCGCAGGCGCAGTGTCCGGCAGGCAGACCGCCGTCTCTCGGGCTGAGAGGCTCGGGGTCCCTCAGGACTCGATCTGCGTCTTCCGGGCGGAGGACACTCAGCGTCCCCGGGGGGAGAGGGTCAGGCCACCGCGGCTGAGGGGGGTTGGGGCGTCTCACGAGGGGCGTCCGGGTCCCCTCCACTGAGTCAGTTTCCAGGCCGACGGCATTCGGGGTCTCTGCGTTTGGGGAGGTTTGGACTTTCCGGGCGGGCGAGCTGCAGGAAGGGCGCCCCGAGCTGAGGGGAACTGGGGGTTCCAGGCTGTTTGGGGGTCTGAGCGTTGGGGGTCAGGAGACGTGGGGTCCTCCGGGTTAGCGGACGCGCCCCTCGGTGCTGAAGGGGTTTGGGGGCCCCTCGGGATGAGGGCATCTGGGGTCTCTCTGGCCGGACTTGGAAGGTCTCGGGCTGAGGACTCCACAGGGCAGGGCTCCCCGCTAACCGGTCCGTCTCCCGGGGCCCCTGCCGCGCTGCCCACCGCGCGGAGGATCCTCTCGGAGTTCCCGGGCCTCCAGCCCTGGGGAGGAGGTTCCATCCTGTAGCCGCGTGGGCACAATCCGCCAATCAGTGCTGGGATCCCAGGGCCTGCCCGCCAATGGGCGGTCAGAAGGAGCTGAAAGGGCGGGGCAGAGGGGCGGAGCCCCCTGGGTTCCTGGACAGGCTTGGGGAAGACCCGCCCCGCCCCGCCCCGCGGGGATTGGCTACCCTGGGTCTCCCGAGCGCCTGTGGCTCAGCCTGCAGCTCCGTGGCTCATTTTGCCGCCGCTGGTGTAGGGGTCCGACCCGCAGGAGCTGGAAGTCCCTAGCCGGGGCTGGACCTTCAGGTGGACACGGCCCTCCTGCCGTCTGACAAAGTGTCTTTGTTTCTCCAGACTGTGGTCGGGATCCCCAACTCACATCTAGGCCCGTCCCTGCCCCCCCACCCCCACCCCCATTTCAAACCCACTTTCAGCCAGAGCTGCCGAAGCAGTGAGGACGCGGTCAAGACTGCACTGCATTCCGTGGAAACTTAAGTCAGTAAATCTTGACCACGCAATTCACAGACACAAAATAAGTCCCAGAGGGCCCAAACATTTAAACACAACAAATAGAATAATAAGTGTACTGGAAAACACACTGGGAGAATTTCATGTCTCAAGGAAGTGGTGTTATGATTAATAGGGGTGTTTAAGTAACTCAGGTGTAAAAACATTTCAGAAATAGGAAGATGAGATAAAACCAAACAAAACTAAATAAATGTAGAAATGCTGGAAAACCTTACAAGTGTTTTGCATAAAAATAAGGTAAAATGTGAATACAGGGGTCCACAGAGCAGGGTCAGTTTCCCTGCTACTGGCTTTCACAGGATAAAGTGGGAAGAGTGTTTCTGGTTCTTACCTCGTTTTGAGCACATAAATATAACTTGATTTCCATGGATCTGAAATGAGCCAACTAACTGTAATTATTACTGTGAAAGTGCATAAAGGGAAACCTCACTGAAATGGAGTTGGGGGTCAGTAGGGGTGCTGTCACATAGCATCACCTGGGGTCAATTACAGGAAAAATTGTGTGTCATACGCCCCAACATGAAGATGTACCATGTGCTCCCAGGAGAAACCGACTCCCCAACACCTCAGCCAGAGAGAAACCATCCTCACCCTGAACTGACACTTTTCTGCAATGCACTTTCATTTGAAGTGACCCCTCCCAACTTCCTCCTTTCTGCCTGTAAAATACGTTCCTCTCCTTTACTTGTGGAGCGGGTCTATGATTTTTGCTACAGCTTGCTTGTCCTAAATTGCAATTTTTGTTACTGTTTCTGAATAAACACCTTATCTGCTGGTAAAATAACTGACTGCTATATTTTTAAGGTCAACATAATTTGGTGGCCCATGTGGGGATCCACAGGACTCCTGAAATCTCTGAGGCTGTTGAGCAAGCAGGTGCAGTGTCCTTGCTCTGAAAAACTAGGGGAAGGGTCCTTTGGTGCAGACTTCCCAGTGATCATTTTGAGAATAGCCATCCAGAAATAACATCCTCATACCCTCTGACCCAGAAATTCCACTTTTCAAAATTTTCTCCTAGTAGCCCTGGCTTGGTAGCTCAGTTGGTTACAGTGTCCTGCCTATATGCCAAGGTGGTCAGTTCGTTCTCCAGTCAGGGCGCATACAAGAAGCAACCAATGAGCAACCAATACATAAGAGGAACAACTAAGTCTCTCTCTCTTTCAAATTAATAAATGAATAGAAAAGCATTAAAATTTCCCCCTAGTTATGCTTCCCTGTGTATGAAATGAAGCATGTTCCATGTATTTTATCCAACACATATAATAACAGATTTAAAGTTTTCAGTAGAAGAGAAATTGTTAAATTATAGTTTGCTAACACTGTTGAAGCAGGAGACAGCATGGGAAGAACTCTGAGACTGCAGTACTGTCACTGGCCAGCATTTATCAGCCTGGTTGCCAGGAAACACCTTTTACCAATTAGGTAGAATAAATAGTAAACCGAGGCAGGGAGGAGGAAGGAGACAAGTCTCACATGCTAATTCAGCAGTCCTAAGTCTGTTCTGATAATATTGCCAGGTGTTTCAATGTTAAAAGAAACACTATATTAGCAAGAAAGAAAGTCCTTGAAATTCTATGTAACATTTCCACTATCTGGGAAAGAAGCCTTGAAACTGTGCTTTCATCCCAAGGCCTGAATGTGGGAGAGGGTCCCCGGTGCCCAAAGAAAGAGCCCATAAAACAACTTTGGTTAATTGCCTACCTCTGGTCACTATCTGTTTTACGAGGGAGTCCCTGATGCTTACAGAAAGAGTCCATAAATAACTGTGGAAAGTGCCCTAATTTTAATTAACTGCCTCCCATCATGTATTTGTTTTACAAGGTGAAAAAATGGGGTCTTGGAACAAGATAAGAATTGGGGCTAACAGACTCCCACACATACCTACTTGTGGGTAGTCACATTCCCCTGGGAAAGCTGGCACTGCATTTACCCATTAATCAATTTGTAACTTTTTTTCTTTCCATCCCACCACCTTTATAGGTCCTCTGAACAAAGGAGTCTCTCTCTTTCTCTCTCTCTCTCTCTCTCTCTCTCTCTCTCTCTCTCTCTCTCTCTCTCTCTCTCTCGGGCTTGGGGTGCTCTTGGGGACAGGGCTTCTGGATACCCAGCCTCAGGCTGCCCCGGGGTTTGCCACCTGGTCTTCAGCTGCTCTTGCTTTTGTTGCCCTACTTGGCCCTGAAACTTTGCCTTTCACCCCCTATTCTACCCAGTCCTGTTCTCTTCCATGGTAACGGGCCACTAATAAACTGGTTACATACTACTAGATTTGCTGATATGTAATTCTTTACATGCGTCAGCAAGAAGAACCAGGTCTCTCCCATTAACAACACTGTGTATCAGCTCAGTAGTCCTGCTTCTTAGTTACATAGCATCAGACCTGTGAGGAGGCCCTAAAGTGAGGCAGCTCTGGGGCAAACTCCCTCTCCTGCTGTGCTGATTAGGGCTTCTCTGCTCATCTACAGGACTTCTCATCTAGACCTTCGTTTCTTCTTTGCTCGGCTGCATTTGCACATGAAGACGTGAAAACTGGAAAAGGAGCCCCTCTAAACAATGAGATCAGGGTGGGCGAGCAAAGAAAAGGCCTCTGGTGTTGTCACCACAGCAGACTAGATTATTATTATTTTTAAATTATGCTGTGTTTTCCTCTAGTACTTTTTAAGCCCAAACTGAGATGGCCTTTTTGTTGTTGTTGCTGCTTACTTAAATTATATATAAAAATAAAAATATTTGAAAATCCTACCCAAACAGGAAATATCTGCTGTTATATTAAGTATATATGCTTCTAAAGAAGGTGGGGGTGTGTGGGCTGGGATGGGTGGAGGAGGGCAAAAGGGAAGAGTTGGGAAAGTGTAATAGAATAACAATAAAAAATCATTTAATGAAACAAAGTGTATACCCTTCCAGACATCACTACTTGCATGTTTCCATTCTTCCACTTTCTCTGGATTTAATTTATTATTCCGGGTCTGTAAGATGATGCAAAATTTGCGAATTTTAAGGCTCTGTCCCTAATGTGTGGATTTATCAATACATTTTTCCCAGTGTTTTTTATGTACTATTTTTATTATCACTCATTTCAAATTATTTTTTAACTGCAATTGTAATTTAATTTATGGGTTATTTAGAAGCGTATTTTATAATTTTTAAATACAAGGACTTTCTAGTTATCTTTTATTACTGATTACTAGATTAGGTGCAATGAGAGCAAGAAACATACTTTATATAATTTCAATCTACCTTCGATATACTTTTTTTGAAACGTGATCCTTAGTACAATGAGGTCAATGAAAAAAAAGCTCCTACAGTGGTTGTCTGCTGCCATCTTGTGTTCATTTTCCGAATAACACCTTATTGCAGGTCAGCAGGGAAAGTTGTGTGTAGTCAGTTGGTTCTTTGTGAATGTTGAATCCAATTTGCTGCTCATGGTGTTTCTTACACCCTTACTGAATTTTGTGAGCTGGTGTTTTGTTTCTGAAAGAGGTATGCTCTATCTCGGACGAGAGAGGTTTGCCAAATCTGTTATGATTATAAAGTTTTCTTTGTGTCTCTGTTCTATATAATTTAAGTTTATGATATTAAGTACATGGTGAATTTGGATCTTCTGGGTAAAATTAAGCTCTTTGAAGCACTCATAATCTCTAGTCATGGTTTTTACCTCAAAGTCTACTGCATATTATTATGTAATTTTCATGTGATTTATGTTTCTGATTAAAGGTACTTTTGCACCATCCTATGTATCTTTTCCTATTCTTTCTCTTTTGACCTTCTGTCACCCCAATGTTTTAGGTAATTCATATTTTCTCCCAGTTTGTGTATTTTATTTGTATTGTCTGAACAAGTTCTTTTTCAGAGTTGTCTTTAATTTTATGAAGTATATGTTATTAGTGTATTTATTACTTAATGTATTTCATTACATTAGTGTATCATGTACATTAATACATAATGTGTTACGTACATAAAGTATATGTATTAATGTATTCATTCATTAATGCATTTAACGTATGCATTAAACTGCATGTCCACTAGTATACTTGATTCCTGGCTACTTTTGCTTAAATGGACCACTAAAAATCAAACATACAGATGAGGTCTGTGTAAGGTCAGAGTCAGACTGGGCTGGAGGTGAGAGGGGGCCACAGATGTGGGTGGGGCTGGGTGGAAGGCGTAGTTAGGCTGGTGGGCGTGAGAGGCGGGCAGTTCTGGTGGAGAGACAAACAACTCCGCAGACTGAAGTTTAGGCGCTGCCGGCGCCAGTCTCCATGGTCACGAGGTGACGCTCACAGGCTAACGCGATGCAAGCAAGGCGGTCCAGGGACAGGAGGTGAGCTGCTTGGGGGCTATGAGGTGAGGGGGGGGCGGGCAGATACAGCCACCCTGTGGGGAACAGGAAAGGGGTCCAGACTGCGGTATACATCCCAGGTCTCAATCTAATTGACCACTTCCTGTGGGACCACTTTTCTATATTAATCTACATTATATTACATTTATAGACAAGTTTGGTAAATGGGTGTCATTGTGTGTTTTTTCTGAAATCCAAGAACATGATGATATTTTTAATTTTTTAAAAT